GGAAGAGCTTGCTATCGTGAAGCGATGGGTGGTAGCGGCGCTGCACCTAGTGACATCATGTCGTTGGCCTGGCCAAGTCTTCATCCCATCAGGGCTATTCAGTAAAACACAACTAATTATTCTGCCAGATCCCCGACCAGATGACAAATTGATTCACGGTACTAACTAAAAGAAGGGAAGGAGGAGAAATTGCACCATTTCCTATGACTGAAACTACATTAACCTGTTACCCCAAGGAAAACTTTGTCAAGAGTTTTTATTGCGGCGGTTGAGTTATACGCCAGACGGCTGAAGTGCATTGCCAGGAGACCCCAGTCTGTGCTATGAAAGTTCATACACAGAGCACGGTTTACATTCGATATCCATCAGCATTCAGAGGAGAAAGATCTTTTTTTCAGAACATCTGCAGAGTATCTCATATGTCAGAGGACCTCAAACTGTTATCAGAAACTGCTAATTAAAACTTAACAAAATCAAATACCTGTTTGTCTAAGCTGACCTGAGGACGCTGAAAACTAAAAGTAACACCAGGGAGATGACTGGAAATTAAAGCTTTTACTCAATCTGTCAGTCAACTCACAAGGGAAAGTTTTCCTGGATACTGCAAGAAGTCCATAATTACGTCATCACGGCAAGGGCACACCAGTATGTTGCTTATTAATCATTTCCAGGAAGAAGACTATCAGAAAGCCACTCTTAGTAGTACCACTGCCTGGCAACACGGGCTCCCTTGGTCACTGCAGGGTGGGTACTTAAGCTTTCCCTCGCATGAATTTCCTCTTTGAGCACATTTTGATCCCTGCCAGAAGCCTGCAATGCAAACACACCTTTTCACACGTTCTTCTGACAAAAGGCTGGGTTCACACAACACCCTACAGCTATAACAAAGTCTCAAACTCTCGCCAAGCCATTCTTCTCTGGTAGATGCACTGCATCTAGAACAGCCCGCACTGCTAGATTTTTTGTTTTCCCCTTTGCTCCAATGACCCATGGGACATCTTCTCTCCACCAGATGTAATCCCAGGGGCAAACACCAAGGTTCAGCATTGCCCAAGCTGCCCTGCACTTGCTCTTTAAATGAAGTGACCAAGACTTGTTCACCAAATGCGTATGACCAAAGCATCACTCCCTTTCAAAAACTTGGACAATGGTAAAAGGGAGAAGGAGAGATGGAGAAGAAGAGGATAGAAGGACACGTAAATCTGTCACACCTATCCAGAACCCTTAAGCTTATATTTGAGAGGTGAGAACCTTCTCCCTCCACTACACAAAGCAACCAAGAAGAGCAAGGAAACAAATACAAGCAAGAAGCAAAGCATGTTGGAAAAGAGGAGAAAGAGATATACACCATGCAGGTAATATCACAGATGGAGTATTATTCTTGTGAATCACAATCCAGAAGAATAATACCCTAAAGAGAAGCTATGATCCAGTGGGGTGAAGGACAGCAGACCATTATAACAGCACAGAGTAAAGTCCACAAGCAAAAGTCAGAGCCCTCCCAGCTACCTTTGATTCAATGAGTCCTGTGATCTGCTGCTCCGTTCCTCCAAGGGCTACTGATGCAATGTGCCAGATTCCATGTTTCTTTCCAACTGTTCTGAGTCTCCTGCATCTGATCTCAAAGAAGGGAGCAGAAACAGCTGGAAGAGAGAAACCAGAATGGCATAGTCCAGCAGCAACCCTTGGAAGAACAAACAACAACAGCCTTGTGAGAGGTACCATTGTCCCCCAGCATGGATGTTTGCACCTGGACACATATCCCCGTGTTTTCTAGAAGAAACACGTGTTCCTAGTGCGTCAGCTCTGGCCAGTTGCACAGCACCAGAGCATCTGCTGAGTTAACGCAATCAGTGCAAACTGAACAGACCGACAGCTCAACAACACAGCTGCAATCCACGGTCGTGGGTGCCAAAGGAGTCACACGTGCTAAGTGCAGTTTAAGTGTGGCACCACACTTCTCCTCCAGCGGTACCTTTACTCCCTCAGCAACTCCACCTGCTTTGCAGCACACGAGCAGCTCGCAGCCTGCGCAAGGGCAGCCAGTCAAGCTCTACTCTGTTTAGGCTTTAAAGCTCCTGTAGATCTCGCTGCAGGCCAAAGGAGGAGGGCAAAACAGCAGGTGAAACAGGAGACCGAAGGAATAAGCTTCTTCAGAGAGAACTTGGGTATTTGTGCCAAAAGAGAGGATTAGTTGTGAAAATCAGGAAGTCAAGGAAGCAGAGAGCAGCAGGAGGCCACAGAAGATAACAGGGACAGTAGGAGCAAGGCTACTGCTCACCAAGGCATGTGAAAGGAAGATAAAAAGGCTTGTGCTCTTTCATATGTGCAAAGACTAGAAAGAGGGAGTGAGGAGGTCAGGGAGATGGTGCTGGTGGAGGAAGGGCCACAAGGAATAAAAAGCCTTTGAAAATGAACCATGGAAAAGTATTAATAAGGGAAGAACTATCAGGGTTGGTGTTGGGACCTTCTCATTTCCACTAGAAAGAAATGAGATGTTGCAACTCACAACCAGATTTGAGGAAGACGAGGGGCACAGCAAGACCAAGAAAGGAGGACGTCATTTAAAGGACAGAAACAGAATTTCAGACAGAGAGCAAATCAGATTAGGATGGTTAGGAATTACACGTACAAGAGGACAGAAAGCAAGTTTAAAGGCTCATAGGATACTGAAGGCAAGACAGCCGGAAGAATCTCTTGCCAGCCTGACAGCAGGGATGAAACAGAAACTGTAACATTTTTCCTGACCGCAACTTCCTTACAACCGATTACTAGAAAGCAGAGGCGCACCACAGCTCTCCAGGACAGCGGTACCACCGCGAGCCTGGTCCTAGCGCACACAGTACCATTTCTAGAGGGGTCCCTCAACTCCACATCCCTTCTGCCCCACGCAAACCTACTGGCTTCTTACTGCAAATTAGTTCCCTTTCGTAAGTGCCAAGTCATCAAGGGCAGTAACAAAACGAGTACCTGGAGTATCACAGGTCTGCCTGTCCCCTGAAGAGTTGTTTGGAGGTGTCCGGTGTCGGTAAACTAGATGTGGTTTATTGTGCTCTTCTTCATACTCCTGTTCTTCGAGTGATAACAGTGGCTCTACGAAGTAGTCCCCATCATCAGACTTGAACGTGCCTAGCTGAGAGGGACCAGAGAGGAACAGGCAATCAGCTGTGGGTGATGACAAAGCACGGAGCAGGACTACCCAACAAAAGGAGTAGTTAATGAGGGAGGTGTGCGAGCATCCAGTTCTGCAGCGTTCCCTGCAAAGGCACAGGCTGGAGCTCCAGTTCCCACCGTACCCCTTGCAACCACGCCAGGCTGCGCTGCTCCCTGCAGCCATCCCACTGGAACTTAAGGAAAGCAAATTACCAATCCACGGGCAGGAAGCACAAGAGGGGGATGTCTGTCAGACCCAGTCCCCTATGCCAGTGACATTTACCAAGTCACATCTACCCAGAGGGAGATAGTGCCACAGCGTGCTAGAGGCCTCAGTGCAACCCTATCACGTTGTGCTGGTTTTCATACAGCAGCTCTCCCTAAGACAAGCTTTAAACACATGTGTAAGGACAAGAGAGAGATCCCCAGCCAGTGAAACCCCTTCTTATTATGAGAAGACCCCAACAGTCCTAGTTGCACGTGACTATGAATGTAGGGATTTGGCGGATAAATAAAAGATATCCAAGACAAAAAAAAATGATCCTGCAGCCATCCTAGACAAGGAAGGGCTGCCCAGCCACACACCTGTGCCTGGGTGAACACACTCACCCAAGAGACCTCCTGGACCAGATGGATGCCAGCAGAGATCTCCCAGTGGAGCACCCGGGCCAGGCACCCCAAGGTGCAAGAAGGCACCAAGACAGCAGGAAGGGTCAACCCTATGGGGGGCTTCTGCACATCTCTTTGATCAGGGGGATATCCCTGCACAGAAGGTCACAAGGACGGCAGGAGGGGCTGCCA